AGGCCTGCCGGAACAGCCAGGTCTTAACTGCTTTGCAGAAGGCCGGGAGGGTAGTGAGGGTCTGGATCTCCATGGGGAGATCGTTCCAGAGGGCCGGAGCAGCCACAGAGAAGGCCCTCCCCCGAGGGGTCGCCAGCCGACATTGGCTGGCAGATGGAATTTGGAGGAGGCCTAGTCTGTGGGATCTGATAGGTCTTTGGGAGGTGACTGGCAGGAGGTGGTCTCAATTCAATTGACATTGAATTCTGTCAATGTAATCAATGGGATTACATTGACAGAATTCAATATTTTGGATACTTTTTAATAACTCAAATTATGTAAACTATATTAAATAACCAGATTGTTTGATTGAATATATGTGTTGGTATATTCCTTTTCTAGGCACTTGTAGGTTTTTGTGACTCTTATGGCTTAATCTGCACTAAACCAACAGTTTGGGTCTTGCATTACCTCAACACTTCTGGTGCCAGCTGTGAGAGTAGAGTAATTGGAATATATGCGACAAAAGCAGATGGAATAACTGCAGTTGAAAAGGAACTAGGAGGACGAATACATAGTAAAAATATTTACAAAAGGTGAGGTGTTTCTCAGTCAGGTGATTATATATTAACATACGATTATAAATGAATTTATATAACTCATTATGCAATTTCTGTTTAGAGAAAACAAATGGCAGATATGCTCCAGATGCTTTAGACTTCAGTATTACACATTCCTTGTCCTTGTGAACAATGACATACAGCTACCACAAAGTTAGGTTCCTACTATTGTGCTCAACAATAGGGACAGTTTTCTAAAAATAAGCAAATCTTTCCCTGTGTCATTCCTTTTGAGATTTGCTTATTTACCCAAATTGGTTAAGATTGCAGTCTTATATTTAGTCACAATAATATAGTCCCATGAAATGTAATAAAATAGAAATTACTTTTGGGTAGAAGAATATACTGTCTTAATATTACTTAGAGTAACATTGAAGTTTTAATATTAAGACTCTCCAATTACGTTTCTATATTGGTGTATTAACATCTGCTAGAAGATGCCTGCAGATATTCAGTTTCTCTGCTCTGGAATATTTGAGAACATCTGATACAGTTTTGAAGGGTATATAGGAAAAGGAGAGCAAGAGAAAATCCAGTAATGGAACTATATTTCTACTTCTGTTATGTCTGTGTAGTACCATACACAGACTGTTGCTAATAATTGTTATTAATAAAACTAAGCCTGGTATATTTAGACATATATTAGCCAGAAAATTCAATAGATTAAACAGTAATTCAGTCAAATGTAATCAATTCATTGATTTTGGGGTAGTTAACTCTTGCTGTCCATTCAGTTTGCTTATCTGGATACCTAGATGGAATTATTTTGTAAAAATAATACATACTAGGCAAGTAAAAATGCTACATTTAGTCTTACAAATCATGTTATCAACATTCAGCAATGAAGACAGTGTAATCTAGTGCCGGTGCTTGGCTGAATAAAATAATTCACTTAAACACATAATTGTGCCTTATTGTGCTATGTTGCTTTCTTTCAACCATTTCTGTTTCTTGGGTAAGAAAAAGTAACATTAGCAAAAACAATGTCTTTTTTTACATTTTTTTTTCTAGAGAGGCTGGAAACAACATCCAGTACATTTGGAGTTACTATTCAGTAACAGAATTGAAGAAGATAATGGATGCATTTGAGGCTTGGGAAGGAAGAGGTATGTTTGTGTGTGTGTGTCTGTGTGTGTATGTGTATTTATATTTGAAGATGGGATTTTATAAAAATATAATTATGGTTGGGGGGGCTTGAAGGTTAACCAGGGTATTTTTTCATTTATTTTTTATTCATTTTATTCATTCAGCAACATAAGAAAAAGGGAATAACTGGCTCTTAATGTAACAAAACCAGGATCTTGGGCATTATTATTACTCAGGCTCAATCTATTATTTCACTATGGTAAGAAGGTAACCAGCAATTGTGAAATTTAAGAAATACCATTTCAAATATCATTTATTGGGTTCATGCTATCATCTGCTGGCATGATACTGTAGTTTGTGAATTTTGAAAACATGCATGTACTTTCCTGTTCTGACCCCCCTCGTTCCACCCCAAAACACACTCCGAGCCAGAGATAAAATTACAGCATTTAATTAACAGACAGACAGGTCCTTGGCAGCAACCCAGCACAGACTAGCTCGGGCAGCAATAAACACAGATAAGGTTTAGCAGCAATCCAGCTTGCCAAGCTCACACAAAGTTCTCCGACATTTGATTCTGTGTTGATTTCTGCAAAGAGGGCGTGTGCACAAGTAGCCTTTATATAGTCTGGAGAGGAGCCTAATGACTATCAGCTGAGTGCA